TTTTCCTTTGCTACCTGGCTTACAGAATTTTGTTGGAACTTCACCACTCAATTACATACTCATTTCTAATAGCGGGACACATTATAAGTTTGGCCCCGATCGGTGCTTTGGGTTAATCAAGAAAGTTTACAAAGTAACTTATATCTCATCACTATACGAATTTGCAAGATTGGTCAAGAACTCCAGTAACCTAAACAAGGCACAACTCATTGGAACGCACGATGGCAGAATCATCGCACCTGTTTATGACTGGGCTTCCTTCCTTGGCCAGTATTTCAGAAAGTTACCAAACATCAAGAGCTACCATCATTTCAGGATTTCCGAGCAAAACCCTGGAATGGTTTATTATAAAGAATTTGCAAACAGTCTTGAACGTTCTTTCATGTTTTTGAAAGATCTCGTGGTTCTTCCACCTTCAACCACTACTCCTCCGGTTATTGAACCAAATGGATTGAGTGGAGAGCGTAAGCTTTATCTTTACCGTGAGATAAGTCAATTTTGTAAGCCAGTAACAGAAGACATTGTAGCTCCTGCCCCTTTTTAAACTGCCACGTGAATAAAAAATGGTCGAATGACTCTTCTTGATCTACTGCATTAGACTACCCCTGTTGTTAGGTACCATTGAAAGAAATTTTTACACCACTAGATGAAATAAATCACATGTGAAATGAGGATGGAAAAATTAATTCTCACTTTGATCTTAATTATTAGGGATCAATCAAATAAGTTCATTTCCACCTCTTAAGCCCAGGGTTAAATTTTATTCTATTTTGTTTGATTGGTTCGATAATGTAACACACAACAAAATATCTGTTTGATTTTCTTCGATCACCAAACCCAACCGAACAATTGGTGTTCAATTGAGTTCCACTGAGTTTTGGTTCGATTTTGTGTGATTAAATAATTATGTCGCACGGATTTCACTTGAACTCTACCAAAGCTTTTCTCTCAGCGGTCCACCGTGGTACCGATCGGTTGTTGTATTCATATGCAAAATGAATAACAAAACATAGCCATTCCTCCAATGAGAACCCAGGGATTTTGACCCGATGGCCAAAGATTCGCATTATTAAAAGGCCTCAGCACCACGCTCGTTCAGTGCAGTTTGTCAGCAAATCTAATCATGGCACTTGCGTTGCGTCAAGTTTGTAAAGAAACAAAGAAGCAACTTTCCAAAACATTCTACTTTGCCATGGAAAGGAAGACTGGTATTGTGCCTACCTGTAAAATTGTCGGCTCAGACAAGGATACGTTATGTGAAGGCAGTATCGATCGTAACTGTTAACTGGCAAGGGAAAAAAGTACAGGCCAAAATTCTGGCATTATGTGGTAAGTTCAACTTCCATGTTTTCTGTCTCGAATGTGATCTTAGTGAAATTTAGGCTACAGTTTCTAAGTAGTTTTCATGCTAAATGAATAGGGTAATGAAGTTGTGGTATTTAACATTCCGATAAAAAATAGGTTTTATGTAGCTTTCATTGTTACTAAATCTTCATTGTTGTTGAGTTATCGAGAGTTGAGGAGATTGGCGAGTACGTCTCTGCAAATTTACAGTTTGTGCTATCATCGCCAAAGATTCGAGAGTTATTTTGTACTTCATCTACATTGATCGATTTAGTAAAACATCAATTTTTCGAGTCAAACATTGTGTGCGATCAAAGCATGACACTTTCTATGTTGCTCTGAGAGCTAGCAACGTCATACCTGTTATACTATGCATTCGTTTAACATACGTTAAACCATGACTTTGATTTTTTGCAGATCATGAAGATGTCCTTTGCAGTAAAGACAGAGAATGGTGTAGGCTAAATCTGCCAGATGCCTTGGAGCCCCCTTCTGACGATGTTGAAGAAGAGCTACCCAGGAAAAAATTCAAGAACACCCAACCCCAGGTTAGTCATGACTATTTGGATTGCATCTATGAATCGGTTTAAAGTGAAATGACTTGTGACAAAACAACAAGGTGGCTTCATTTTACATCAACAAAACCCTGATTAACTTAGATGCTGTAAAATTGTCTCGCCATTTGATCAACGCAACATAATTATAATTAGCGACCTTACGATATCAATGAAAACGTAATTGAAAAACTGAGTTCACTTCCTTTCTACATGATTTATAAAAAGTTGGGGCATTAAGTTCAGAGGAATACGGTACAATTTATCGCCTTGCCGTTCAAACGGCAAGACGTTCAAACATTCAAACCACATTCTTTGCAGAATTTTTTCTGTTCGCATTCAGTGTTTTCGTATGCGTTTATAAAATTAGCATGTATGGCCACTAAACGAATCGGTAACGTACCACGCGTGATTAACATAAATTGTCATAGTCAAAAAATGGTCGTTTGTTTAAAACCTCTGGAGCGTTTCTGTTTGAAAGGGTTTGTAGATACACTTAGCATCAGCTGAAGTTCGCGAAAAAAAATATTATGTCCACTTATTGGTGGTTTTATTTACTCTTTCTGAGTAGGAAAATAAAGAATCCCCCTCAACAGCGAATCCCAGCCTCGCACAGAATCCGTATGCGTCATTCTTGGCAGAACAACGGCAGAGGGAAATAAAGTGGGCCACTGATCGAGAAGCCAAAAGGACAAGAGAAGAACTGAATGAGCACATGGTAGAAATCCATTCCTTAAAGGAACAGCTGCAAGCAAAAAACAGAGAGTGTGATCTTCTAAAGAATCAGTTGGAAAAGACTAATGCAGTGGTGACAGAAAACCATTGAAACGAAGATCTTGCAAAGGTAGGCTTTTATATGAATTGTCATTGTAGTAATACAATTCAAGTAGGTTGTTTCTGAGAAGTTGTGAGGGGTTCCATTTCAAATAAGTAGTATGCTCAAACGTAAGAAAATTGACTATGTATGCTGGCCATTCTTGACCTTGGTGTATAAATAAACGAACAATTATTCTTGTCACAAGGTCTGAAAAATTTTGTAAACGAAGCTTTCGACTGTATCACACAGTCTTCATCAYCGATTAAAGTGAGCTRACATTGTCACGTGAATGCAAATTGTTTAATCACGTGACAACAGATGGTCAAAAATGGCGGAAGATCATAGTGTCAGAACATCTTAAAAGAGTCTTTAGGGCACAAGACATCCACACATACCACGAGCCTAATTACAACACGCTGAGGTCCATCTTAGTCCATCCAAAAGACAGGACACCAACTGAAAAGGAGACGGGCGTGGTATACGACATCACATGCAACGATTGCAGAGAGCATTACATTGGCGAGACAGCGAGAACTCTGGAGAAGCGACTGGGTCAACATCAGAAACAAACAACATCTGCAATCTGGGAACACCAGTCTCAGGCCAACCACGAGATCGACTGGGAAGGAGTCAAGATTCTTGATAAAGAGTCGGTAGATATCAAAAGGAAAATCAGGGAGGCCATCCATATCAGACATCAACGCCCAACACTGAACAGAGACGGAGGCTATGATCTTCCCACCATTTTTGACCATCTGTTGTCACATGATTAAACAATTTGCATTCACCTGACAATGTGAGCTCACTTTAATCGCTGATGAAGACTCTGCGATACAGTCGAAAGCTTCGTTTACAAAATTTTTCAGACCTTGTGACAAGAATAATTTTTCGTGTAAGAAAATTGATTTTAATTAACCGTTCATGCAAAGGGAGCTTTCAATTAACAGTCTCACTTGTAGGCCCTCTTTTTGTGGACAAAACCAATATCAGGTCAAAATGACACACCTCCTCAGTGAGTGACCCAGACATATTCAGAAAGCAAGACCAAGGGTCATAGGTTCAACTCCTGTTGGAAGAGCTCGGATTTTCTTTTTTTGAGTACGCCTGGGTCTCTTACTGAAGAAGCCTATCCTCATTTATTCAAGACCTGGTTGTTCAAAGCACGATTGAGCTAACCAAACTTTAGTGAAAATTTTTCTTAGGTTTTTGCAGAATTTTAGACAGTTTTGCTGTTTACATTTTATTCCTTTCCGTCTCACCTTACCCTAAGATAAAATCCTCTTAATGTTAGCACTAATGTACGTTTCTTTATCAGAAAAATCAAAACCGAGTTTAAACAAGACGCATGTCTGCGTGAACTCAGGCATTTTAGTGCAGTGTGCACTATTGGGATGGTTATGGGGGCTGCCTGCTGCTGAGGCACTATTACGCTATGGCCTTATGGCGCTAAGGTGTAAACTTTAATGTTTGTTTAATTAATCAATTTCAATTAATTAATTAGTCTAGATGCAAGGAAGTGGTGGGAGTGGGGTGGTAAAGGTACATGTGTACTCTACGTAAAACATGTTCCATCGCCGTCAGTAAGGTGTGAACATTGCAAAGCTATATATTTGTTTCAGGTAACCCCTTGCTCTCCTTGTGGTACCATTCTCTTTGCTCTAAACGCATGCGTAGATTAGCTGGCGTTCGTAGCTTCTATATTAGGTGGAGGATACATTGCATACAGAATCACACACAAATGTTGAGTGGTTTTCCTTATGGTAGAACTCAACATGTAAGACACATGCATTCTAGCATTGTTAGTTACCATCTTTCCATGCAGTATTTTATATGTCATGTCATGTGACCAAGGACGTCAGTTATTTTTCAGGTAACGCCAATCGTCCCTTTTTATTGCAACAGTGAAACATTACTGTGGCTGCATAGCTTTTAGAATTACACACAAACCAGTTCAACAAATATCATCTGCTGTTTTCAATCTACAATAGTGTGTTTGTAAGGGTTCAAATGTATTGCTTTTCCTTAGCAGCTTGCTTATTTCTTGCCTTAATTGTGTCTGTAAGAGAGACCAAAAAGTTCCCAAGTTAGTGGCTGTAATACTCCGCAAATTGTAAATTTGTGACAAAAGAAACCAGGAAAGTGCTCAAATATTGCTGTAGACTCCGTGGCACCTAATGAAAGTGCAAATTAATTTAATCAGTCTTTTAGGAGACATATCGGCCAAGTAGCGCTGTTTATCTTCAATACTTTTCTTTGAAATGCTTAGAACTCAGCCATCAATATCATTGTGTGTTAATTTTGAATTGTTTTATTGTTAACAACAAAGGTGGCAACAGATAAAGAAAGTGGTATTTCATGACTATCTGACAATTAAATTAGTTCTTGTTCGTCGGTGATAAGAAAATTTGCATTTTTAGTAAAACAACATCGTTTGACTGTTCCATTTCTTCATCACTACATCAGATATTTAACTTTCTTTCATTTACCTGCAAAATACAAGCACATCTTCGGTGTGTTTTGGAGTAAACAAGGGTTTCATATTACATGCCTTTGCGAGGAAAACAAAAGTGTCAAGTTACAAAGCTGGCGTGAAGAGCTAAATTGTCATGTTTGCTACTTCAACATATTGAATTTAAAATGAACGAAAGTCAACATAAAACACCAGTAGTGATTTGTACGTAATTTTTGGACTGTGAATGAAAATACAACCTTGAAACATACACACTGCAAAGGGGAAAAGCACTAGCAGACTACCAAGGTAGAAACAAACCGGAAGTGAACCGAGCAAGGGTGACTACTTATGGGACTACTGTGCCAGAGCTATCAATTGTGCTCTGCACTATCTGAGATTGTCTCACTAATTTAGGACAACACGACACTTTCATGTTGTTACTGCCTCATTCGTTATGAACTAGCAAAGTTGTGACCTGGATGCGCAAGTTTACATTGTAAAACTTTGGAATGCCAGAGTTTTTTTGTTTTGGTTTGGTTTTTTTTCAACCTATTGACGCTTGCATAAAATTGCACGCGACCCACCCCTGATTCCCTGGCATTTTTGTCAGAGCAAGCGTAAGCACAAAAATAAACCATATGTGCATATATCATATCATATACCATATCCGCTTATTTAAAGTTGAATAAATGAAGGGCCAAAATATTTTTAAAAAAGTCAACAAAAAGGACTTAACTTGATGTGTAAAACTGATAAGAAAATAAGAAATTATAGTCTTACTTTTTCTCTGCTTCGCGACAATAATCGAGAAAATTGAATGCGCAAAAATGAGTTAATTAAAATAAAACCGAATACAACAGAATTTCCATTCTTTTACTATAACGGATAACATTTCAGAAAACAACGGAAAGTGTAAGCGAAAAGCACATGTAAAAACCAATTTAAAAATGTGAAAAAAGATTATTTCTTCCCCATGGGACGAAATATTACAGCGCAGTGAAAGAAAGATGAAAGTTGTAAGTCAACAAGCCAATTATTTTGAGATATATCGTATGTCAACAGAGGCGCCACGATTAATAGTCATGACATTATGCTGTTGGCGGTTGCGTTACAATTTTAGCCGTTTATAAGACAATGTACGAGAATGCTTCGAAAATTGCTCTAAATGATACGTGTAGAAAGGACCACCTGTGATGTCAACTGTGTTAAAATTAGTACCCGCTTAGTTCTTTAACCAGAAATTCTGTAGTAGCTGAATGAAACTCCAAAAAATATATTTGAACAAAGCGAGTAAACTAAACAAACAAACTGCAGAGGTCACCCTAAATTAAACATGCAGAAATCCAATTTGTAAAAAAACTGTTCACTTTTAAAACGTCAAATTCCCAAATTAAGGCAACCAAATGTAAGAAACGTGACGGGAAGTTCAATAACAATACATTTTGATCCACGATAAGGCCAAAAAAAAAATTATCTAAAAGCAAAAAATGTTCAAAATTTCGCAGACGAGCTTCTCAGCATAACAGCGTGTTGAAATTAATTCCTCACGCTAGCTTATTATGCTGACGACTTTTGCAGGCATTTTATCGGCTCTGGGTTTACCAATCGTTCTAAAAGTGGAATTCAACTTCGAAGTAATACTGCACATTACCATTTTTGTTTTCTAAAGTCCAGGAAGCTGCTTTTAATCTGCGTATTCAAAACTTAATCTTACTTGAAAACGCTCCGATCATTGTGTTTTCGTGGCAGTTAAAGGAAAGAAAATCTTCAACAGAAAGGTTTGAGCATTCTGTACAGCTTGATCTTCCATTCTGGGGCTATCTAAACATTTACTTGTGTTTTTCCTCCTTTCCATTTTTCAAGTCCCGAAGAAGTAATTAAAGGAAGATCAGAGAGTCATTCTGGTCCCCAGAGGCCACGCTCCTTTTGGTCAGCAGCATAGCATCGCACGTGCATGTCAAAGACTTGACTGCGATTTGTGACTGAACGAAAAAAAAAAAAAAGCGAAGCCAGAATTTCAACTCAGGCGTTTCCTTTGGAAAGCCGGAGTAATTATGGTCCTGGATTAGTGCGAACTGTCTTCGGAACAACCGGCATCACATTTGTTACAATGATATCAGGTCATTTCAAAACATTTGCAATCCCTCTGCGTATAAGTCCCAGCATTAGGCTAGACTTCATATCAACACTACCAAAATATATTAGGCAGTTGTTTGAGTCCGAATCCAGCTCAAAACCGGGATTTACCAGTAGTTAAACTTTTACTTCTGTTGGCCAAAAAAAAATAACACACTTTTTTTTTTATCTCACGAACAGGTAAGGGAAAACATGGAAGACATCCTTGAAGCACTGGATGACAAAATGAGCATGACGATGTCAAGAATAGATTAGCGCCTAGACACTTTGGAAAATACGGTGAGATAGCAATCTTATTTCTTGTACATGTTAAAAGGTGGCCGTGTTTTCACGAGCAGTTTTTCAGGTTGCTTAGCGAGTGACAACTGGAAATCCCGTTAAAACAGTTACTTTTCCAACTCGCTTAAAGTTAAGCAAGGCGGAAAACTTCAATGGAATTCCCATTAAATTGTAGCTTAAGCGAGTTGGCCAAAATTAATGACCAACTCGCTTAAGCTATCTGGTTTGGATTTCCAGTTGTCACTCGCTAAGTGACCAGAAAAACTGCTCGTGAAAACACGGCCAATTTTGGCCAATTAGAAGTTTCTTGTGGTTATTCATCTGACATGGCTGTCAAATCAAAATGTAACAGCTACTCGCTTCCTCACTGGCATCGCCCACAAGTCTGGTCGAAACAGCCAACAAAATTGCAGACAAATAAAATGGAATGTTTGCTTAGAGATACAGAAATGGTCACACCAAATGTTACCTACATGGTGGTTTTAAACCATGTTCTCGAACCAAAATTGTGGCCTTTCAAGCACCCACGCAATTTTTCATCTACGGCATATTTTTCTCTGCGAATGATGAAAATACGCCTCCGTTACTCCTCTCCTGCCTCTAAGTGCTAGCAATCTCGACCTTTGCTGAAATCAGTTCCTTCATCAGAGGCAGACTAATTGCATAAAAACAGTAATTAATTATAAGAAGAAAAACTTTAATACAAGCTTCGTTTGGATCTCCCGCCATATTATTCAAACCACTTTTCTCGCCAACGTGCTCTGCTCAAATTACTTTAATGAAATTTAATTTAACTTGTGAAAACACGTATCATTTTTAAGTCGCTTAACGAAGTCTGTAAAACAAAAGACCTTTGGGAATGTTAAGCGAGACAATGGTTGTCATGAAAACACAGCCATTGATTGGTTTGACCTTCTCAGTTGCTTAAAAGCTAATTAAAAAAGTAGCCTTGGTTGGATTCTGACTGAATTGTTTACATAAGACCGTGTAGTGAAGAAATTCCTTGAATTAAGACATAGAAAACACACTGTAAGCTTTCCGAAATTACAAAAATTGTATTCAGATAATCCTTTCATATCTTATGGTAAATAAATTTTTTTCATGCGAATTGTGCATCATAAAAATCTTGGCCTGCGTAGCTTAGCGGTTTTTAAGCAATTTGAGCATGCTAAGAAAAAAGGGAAGCCACGATAATGAGACCTTGAAAAGGTTTTGAATGGAAATGTTTAAATTCTCCGAATTTGATTTTGAGCGGACAACGACAAAGTCTACAATTATCATTTACACCATCGAGCAAACACCGCATCGCTATAGCATCGGATAGTTTTGTTTTGATAGACTCTACAGTATCACAGTATCATCGGGTTGTCAAAAGTAATAGGGGGCGGCAACAAAAAATGCAGGTAATCCAGGCAGGCAGTTCCTCGCGGCTTCACCACTTGTTTTCGCGGCTTCGCCACTTTGTGCGCTCGCACTCAAATTGCCCAAAAAATTGCTTAAACCACCAAGCTACGCAGACTATACAAATCTTAGGCAGCGAAGTAATATTTAAACGCACTGATTTCCACTGTTGCCATGCCCTGACATTTTTGTTATATGAACTTTACTAATCCGCTTATTTGTATGACTGCTTTACATATTTGTGGAATGGCAAATGATCCTTCAACACAAATCAGACAGAAACAGTGTAATATGCCAGACAACCTTCCTGACGACCTCGCAACCATTGATGTAGACAACTTTGTGAAACTAAGTGATGACAATGCCACTCCTTTGGCCAGCCCAACACCAACTGCTCTAACACCAGCCACTCCATTAGCTGCCACGGTAACACCAGCTACTCCGTGCATCACAGACATCAGTTAGGTCTCTGTAGGTGAAGGAATTATCCGCACCTGCATGACTCCAGACAAAGTAAAGGAAGTGGAGGTGATGCAGAAAGTGGAGAAGCAAAGGCACCTTTGCGCTCTAAAACTTTTGCATTTTTTTTTCTCAAAAGAAGAGCTGAATATGAGTAATACAGAGGGAACGCATGGAAAACAGAGCTTGGATAAAAACAAACTGAACAGTTTGAAAGCAATAGTGTTAGCAAAGTTTTCCGCAGAGTCGTCAGAGGAAAAAGAGAAAATTTGGCGGGGTATTAAGGGCAAGATTGATACTAAGTGTCAGTTAGCAAGTTGTTAGTCACCACGAGTGATAGTCCACAGTCATTCATGTATGTGGCATTCATTGTGGGGGTAAGATAGGATTTCAAAAGACGCCTAACAGGATCGCATGTTTACAGTTCGATCACGTACAGTGGTTTGAATCAACAACTGGTAGATTCGCGCTACATGTGTACGGTGAATTTGTAAACTGGAAATACAGTCAAATAGGACTCCTCTGCTCCCTGTGTGACAACTAGTGTCAAATTGTTTCAAACAAACAGCAGTTTGGTTTAACTAAATCTGAAATTTTACCATGCACCAAACGAATGTTTTGAACGTGTTATAATATATTTTCGTCATTCAGGTCTCAAAGCAGTCCAGATTAGGACCAACCTCGTTCCCAGGGTCTCTCATCTTATCTTACTGGAGCGAGCGAGACCCTGGGAACGAGGTTGCATTTAAAAGCACAGCATAATTATAGTTTTCTTTTTTGATCGCAAGAATAGATAATGCATGATGACAACACCGACTAAAATGGAAATTTAAACTATAGGCCCATAAGTATAAAGATTGCCTGTTCTATTTTTATAAGCATGTAAAGCCATTTGTTCGGAACGATTTTGCAAAGCACTCAAGCCATTCGAGTGACGAACCAATCCGGAATCATGGTCAAAAACACTTAACGGTTTTAGGTCCATATCAGCATGACATTATGTTCTTTTTTTTGGATTGCAAGACTAGAAGTTCTTGAATAATTGACATCACTGATAATGCGTGATGACAACACCGACTACTATGAAAATTAACAAGCCAAAGTACAACATCGCTTGTTCAATTATAAAGCATAAGCTATCCATTCGGGACGATTTTGCAAACCGTTCAAGCAGTTTAGTCATCCGTTCGAACAGCTAACCAAACCGTTCGAATGATTTATTCATCCGTTCAAACGGTTAATCAAACCGTTTAAACAGTTTACCAATCCGTTCGAATGGCCAACCAAACCGTTTGAATAATTATTCATCCGTTCGAATGGTCAACCAAACTGTTCGAACAGTTCACGAACCGTTCGACGCCATCCGTGCGTTTTAGCCATTTGAACGGTTTTCCATTAAGGCTGGTTTCCATATGATCGCAGACGATCGCAGACGATCGCAAATCGCAGATCGCAGACGATCGCAAAGAGAGTTGTTTCCATATAATTGCAGACGATCGCAAGCGATTGCAGAGCCGACTGTTGCATACATTTCGGACAGCAGAACTGTCAAAATTACACGCGCGATGTGCTGGTGGGAAAATCGCAGCAAACAATATGGTGGATGTCGAGGAGGAAACTTTGCTGCAAGCAAATTTATTTCTTCTTTTAGTCAACCTATTTTGAAATTCCCTCGGCACTGCATCTTGCCCTGATCCAGAAGGTAGCGTTTTCAATCGCTTCAGATAGCGACCATACACAGTTCTTATGTTGCAGAATTTGACCTCCGCCTCAGCCGCCAATAAATTAAATTTCTCCCCGATTTTTTGCCAGCAGTTAGCCTTTTGGTTTTTGTCTTTGAAATCTTTACTGCTATGGTGGTAAACGCACTGATATCGCGCAGATTCCTCCATAAATTTTTCGTTGCTAACGTTACCTTGTTTGATGCTTGCCATGTTTACAACAAATACGCAGTTGCTTTGTTGCAAAGAAGCGTTGAATCATGGGTCGGAATTCAAAATATCATGGGATACGTTTCAATCGCAGATCGCAGATGCGTGTTTCCATATGATCGCAGACGATCGCAGAACTTTTTGCGATCCGCGATCCGTGATCGTTTTGCGATCATATGGAAACCAGCCTTTAGTGTGCATTTTGCCTATTACGGTCACACATTATTTTACATCCTCGCCCATATCTGACTGGATTTAGTAGAGCAAAACCAAAGAGATTTTATGTCTCATTAATAGTTTTGGTTCATTTTTGCTCATGGATGACGTAGTCTTACATCATCCATGAGCTTAATAGGCAGTCCAATGGCACTCACTCACTCACTCGATTTTGATTAATTTATTCATCAAAGTTGGATTAAACATTTTTCTCCTACCTCCCCTGCTAAGTATTGTTTTTGTCCCAAGGTTTTCTGGGCATATCTTTGACTGGTTTTATGGGGGTACTTGAAAGGGGTAAATTTTTGTCCAACAACATGCCATAACATGACATGGAGGTCGAAGATGTTTTGTTTGATCTGTAAAGAAGGATTCCTTTGGGGGTGAAAAATGAAAAGTTTTTGCACTAAGGAACACTTGCTGCAATAAATCAACAACGAAATCCTATAAGTGATGATACTTGCAGCAAAATCTTGAAAGCTACAATATCTTTCAACCGTGGTCCGTGGACGAATCAACGGAATCGTTTAAAAATGTTCTAATGTCACCCGGAAGAAGAATGAAATGAATGCCATGTCATATGGAAGCTAAGGTAAGCCTTCTTGTTGTATCGTTTTTTTCTTTAAAAACTATGTCTATGAGAGCACTTTTGCATACTAGTAATTAGATTCTTATGTTCAGAAACTGCTCGATTCCAAAAGTAGTAGTCGTCTCACAAAGCACATGGTTTTCTAAACTCAAAAAAGCTGACGTTCGCCATTTTGTGTCATTGTTGGATAGTGTCTTTACAGAGTTGATTTCTTTCTGTTGGTGATTTATATTATCCATCAGTACTATGGATGTAGTTTGTACTGGAAATGCTGATAACAAATCTCTCGTAATATATTCGGGGACAAAAGCCGGGGTAATTTGCTAGGCCAGGAGATGTGCAGCCTCGTGTAGCTTTGAAGAAGCTTATGTCAAGTTCAAAATAAAGGTTAGTGAGAAAGTTAAAAATGAAATGAGCAGTCTAAGAACACAAGCGAGTCTTGTGCCTTTGGCAGTGTTACAGACCGACAATTCATCCCAAGCAAAAACAATCTTGTTTCAGAATGTTGAATCTCTCTACCTCTGGCTCCACCTCCACATAGATGTTGTCTGAAGTGATTACAACATTCAAAAAGCTGATGTCAACTTTTTTGTTGAATCAAAACTTTGCTTGTCAGATAGAGATGATGCATATCAGCTTTGGGAATTTATGAGTTACAGAAATGACTTTAGTCAGTGTAGCGAAATCTATGTGTAATAACCTACAACAAAGAAACAGCTTTAAGTGATTTATTCGCCCAGTGTTACACACAATGCAGGCTCCCAAAAATATGGTCCTTGTGCTTAAATTGTTACGAAATCAAATAATCATACAAAGCATCTGATTGGCTGAAATCAAACTGGTGATCAAAATAACATGGGCTAGGGCATGTGCAGTATAACGTAACGCAATATCTATACATCTCCCTCTTTAATTGCAACGAGAAATAGAAAAGCGAAACAAAAAAACAAAAAAAACTGAAAGTTCAAGTTCAAGGCTCCAATGATAAATGTTCAGTTTACTTTGAGATTACAAGATCTCGAGATAATCACGTCATGTAATAGTCTTGTTGCCATACAGGCGGACAACGCCTACATTCTGAATGGCGTGGTAGCACCTCTACTGGCTCCACTTCAGGTTCAGTGTGAGCCCCACTGTTGAGGTTACGACTGGCTACTGGTGGTTCAGCTGTCTCTTGCTCAGAGATCTGATTGGTCTCTACCCTCAAGTTCTGGGACTGTTTCAGGAGAGGATCAGGCAACTCACTTTCCTGTAGGTTACCAGGCGGAAGAACTTCAGGTGTCATTCTCAGTTGTCGATGGTTTCGACGATAACGTCTCCTGCATACCTCGACTTCATAAGACCTGTTTTTCAAAATACGTGTACATGTCTCCAGAGACCATTCCTGTTTTCCGGGGAGTCTCATGCGGATGGCCTGTCCACTTCTCAGTGGTTCAAGGGGTCGCGACTTCTTCTTGTACTGACGCACCTGTCGCGATTTGCGATCAGCCAGTCTGGTTGCAGTATCACTGTGACCAGAATGCAGCAGGAGTTTTTCATGTGTAGGGAGCAAGGTTCGAGTACGGCGTCCCATCAACCCCTGAGCCGGTGATGTACCAATCCCGTCTGTTGGTGTGTTGCACCAATCCAGAAGGGCTAACAGGGGGTCCTGTCCATCTGCCTTTGCTTTCTTCATCAGATTCTTGCAGGTTTTCTCGGCATTTTCTGCACGGCCGTTTGATTGGGGATAACGAGGACAGGAGGTACGATGTTCAAACTGCCACTCGCACTGCCACTGATGATGCAAACTGCGATCCATTGTCGGTGATTAGCACTTCGGGTATCCCATGTCGTAAAAACTGGACTTTACATGCAGCTATCACACTGGCGGACGTTGCCACTGTTACCTCCTGTACTTCAAGGAACCCACTCCAATAGTCCACCGGAAGAAAGAACTGCTGTTGTCCCAGTTCAAACAGATCAGCAGCGAGCATTGACTAAGGGCGTGGCGGTACTGGATAAGGTTGCATGTCTTCATGACACTGATCAGGCTTATGGGATTGGCAGATTGTGCACTTGGAAATAAAATCTTTCACTTCGGCGTTCATGAGTGGCCAGTACAAGACTTCTCTGGCACGACGGAGACATCCTTTGATTCCAATGTGTGACCTGTGAATTTGCTTCAACATTTCTTTCCTCAGGGCTGTAGGTACAACCAGCCATTCCCCAAGGAATATTAATCCTTTGTCCTCCACGAGTTCGCTTCGTTTGTCATAGTACGGTGTAAGCACCGAGTCACACTGTTTCTTTGGCAGTGCCCATCTGCTCTTTACTGACACAATTAGACTTTGCATGACGGCATCATTCACTGTCTCGCATCTGAATTCGGCGATTCTGTACGGGGCGATAGAGAGGTTCTCCGAATGGTCAATTTCCTCGATTGAGCAGACGAGACTTGTGTCATGCTGTACAAACTCAGTTGTGTTGCGGTAGGCGTAACTTAAGGCATCGAATATCCACATGAGTTCTCCTTTCTTGTATTGGACATCCAGAGAATAGTTCTATAGAGGCATCAGCATCCTCTGAAGCCTTTTTGGCGACTTGTGAGCTGGGTTGTTGAAGGCCGCTTTCAGTGGTTCATGGTCAGACTCAATATGCACACAATCACGTGTCCCAGTATGTACTGGTTGAACTTGTTGGCTGAC